ATATATATTTCTTTTCTTCAGAAAAAAAAAGGGGTTATTAGAAATCAAGGTAATTTCATGAAAATGCTAATGAAATTTTCGGAGAGGTTTCAAACTTAATTCCAAAACAGTCCTAAAATTCTAAATTAGAGTTAGGAGTGTTCACATCTAATTCAATTCGATTGATCCGACCTAAATTGATCTAATCTGATAAAAAATCAAATCAAACCGATATAAAATTGGATTGATTTGAATTATAAGCTTTTAAAACAAATATAATTGGTTTAGTTTGTAATTTTACCTTCAAACTGTTCGAATTGTCCGATTACAAAATAAAATCTGATTCTAAGTGTTACGCCCCAGAACTCAAATCCAGGGACGTGGCAGACGCCGTACACTTGTGAGAGGATCCCACAAATGTACAAGGCTCGAAACTAATCATACCACAATCTGATACCACAAAATCTGAAGATAAAATTTTAAAATTTGCTCTGATATCATAAAATCTCCAAATAAAGTCTAGCTTACAAGATCATGATTTATATCTAAAATCTATGTTCAATTTACAAGATGGCTAGCCTTCTAACTTGTCACTCCTCTCGTTTTTCCCCGTCCTTGATTTCGCTTCCTAAAATGGTGGACAAGGAAAAACTATGAGATAACTCAGTAAGTAAATATAAATAGTCCTTAATTAAACTTATAGCATGCCAACAAGTATAATCACGAAAAACAGGTACGAGCACGGAAACGAAATAGACGTCTCCTCTATAGGTCATAGCCAGTGTTATAAACCTCCCACTGGCAGGCACATGATTTATTGGTGTATAATCCCACTAACAGGATAACAAAAATAAACCGATTCTATCAGTAACATGTCGACATGTGCTAGCGTTTATAAACCTCCCACTAGCGGGCACACGAATAACATGACCATATCGGAGACAAAACAGGCAAAATTTAACAGAAAATCATACTTTACAGATAATTTCCAGATCATTAGGGCAGTTAAATAAATTCCAAGAAAGCATGCTCAAATCAATAAAAAGAATAATAATTTTATTTCATATCGATCATACTTGTATAAAACGGGTTTAGTCCCGCCACCACTTCAAAAACAAGCTAAAATAGTTTTAAAATCGAAAGGCATTACCATAATTTACTTACCTTAAATCGTATAAACCGAGGACTCAATCCCAGTGCTCTAAGCCATAATAGCACCTAATATTCCAAATAAATACATTTAGACTTTGCTAGAATTATTAGCACAACCTTGCAAATTTACTAACCAATGAACTTCACACGAAATTCAACCATATGACCAAACATCTCAATTTTATTCTCAGTATAACTATACATTTAAACCCTCTTATTGTTGGCCATTAGTGCGTAAACAGTACCCATGAACAGTAATTACGCAGTGACTCCAAAAATTGGCAAAACCATAGCTAATCTCACGGGATTTCTCTCCAAAATCTCACAGCAGTCAATTAACACTCAATCACATAAATTCCACTTGAATTAATGCTTAAATTTTGTCCTAAAGCTATCGGAATTATCCCCTAATTACTTCAGAATTTTGGACAGCACAGGCAGCAATTAATTGATGAAATTTCGGGCTTGGAGGGGCTGTCAACATACCAGAATTCAGCAAGCAAGGCCGGAGCTAGCGGGTTTGGGGGAAGGCTGGCGGAATCTGTAGGGGAAACTCACGGATCTACCTCAAAATTGGAGAACCAAAAGCACAAATTAGAGTAACCCAAGTTAAATTAAGGCTAAAAGGAGGAGACCCATG